TCATCTGTCAGGTTGTTGTACTGTGGTGATCTTCATGTTGCTATGAGGCTGGAGGCTATGCCCCCAGTATTTCAAATACCAGCAGGGTCGCCCATGGTGGACAGGTTTCAGTGGAGCTTCCAGACTAAGACAGACTTGAAGGAAGGAAGGAGCCATCCACTTCCCAAAACACTGGTTAGTGAAAACCTTATGAATAGCAGTAAAACACTGTTTAATATATTACTGGAAAACTTTATGAACAGCACTGAAACATTGCCTGATATTGTGCTGGAAGATGAGCCCCTCAGTCATAAGGCACTCAAAATATGACTGGGGAAGAGCTGCCTCCTCAAAGTAGAGCCAACCTTAATGACGTGGATGGAGTAAAGCTTTCAGGACCTCCATTTGTTGATGGGGCACAACCCAAAATGGGAAGAAACAGTTGCAAACATCCATTAATAAGCACAATATGGAATGTACAAAGTATGGACATAGGAAAATTGGATGTCATCAAAGATGAAATGGAATGAATAAAGATCGATATCCTATGCCTTAGTGAGGTGAAAAAGACTGGTTTTGGCCATTTTGAATCAGACAATCATATAATCTACTATATTGGGCATGACAAATTGAAGAGGAATGGCATGGCATTCATTGTCACAAAAAATGTTCAAGATCTATCCTGAAATACAGTGCTGTCAGTGACAGGATAATATCCATAAGCCTACAAGGAAGACCAGTTAACTGCTATTATTCAAACTTTTGCACCCACCACCAGAACCAAAGATGAGGAAATTGAAGATTTTACCAACTTCTGCAGTCTGAAATTGATCAAGCATGCAATCAAGGTTTATTATTACTGGTGATTGGAATGCAAAAGTTGGAAACAAAGAAAAATCAGGTAGTTGAAAAATATGGCCTTGATGATAGAAATGACACTGGAGATAACATGATAGAATTTTGGAAGACGAATTACTTATTCATTGCAAATAATTTTTTTCAACAACATAAAAGGTGGCTATACACATGGACCTCACCAGATGGAATACACAGGAATCAGATCAAGTTCATCTGTGGGAAGAGGTGGTGGAGAAACTCGGTATCTTCAGCCAAAACAAGGCCAGGAGCTGACGGTGGAACAGACCATCAATTGCTCATCTCCAAGTTCAAGTTGAAGCTGAAGACAATTGAAATAAATCCACGAGAGTAAAAATATGACCAAAATACTACATCCCACCTGAATTTAGAGAACATATGAAGAATAGGTGTAATGCATTGAACACCAGTGACTGAAAACCAGATGAATTGTGGGGTGACATCAAGAACATCATACATGAAGAAAGCAAAATGTCATTAAAAAGGCAGGAAAGGAAGAAAAGACTCAGAAACTTGCTCTTGAATGGAGAATAGCTAAAGCAATTGGAAGCAATGATTTGATAAAAGAGCTCAACAAAAGATTTCAAAGAACAATTCGAGAAGACACAGCCAATTATTATAATGAAATGTGTAAAGATTGGAATTAGAAAACCAAAGGGGAAGAACACACTTGGCATTTCTCGAGCTGAAAGAAAAGAAGAAAAACCTCAAGTCTCGAGTTGCAATATTGAAGGATTCTATGGGCAAAATATTGAATGATGAAGGAAGCATCAAAAAAAGATGGAAGGAATACACGGTTACTCTACAAAGAAGAACTGGTCGATATTCAACTATTTCAGGAGGCTGCATATGCTCAAGAACCAATGATATTGAAGGAAGAAGTTGAAGCTGCAGTGAAGGAACTGGAGAGAAACGAAGGTCCAACAA